GCTATTGATGTTCGTTTTAAACTCCTGAATCACAACGATATCAGGTTTTTTTATCTTACGAGGGTTAAGGGAGGTTACTGAACAAAAATGACCTCGATCAAACTTTTGCTGTTAAAATCATGTTGCATTCGGTAATACTTGGTGCCGATTGTAAAGAAAAACATACCATGATAATAGTTTTAATAATTCCGATGACTTTTGGTGCTTTTCCCCCTAAGGTCAAAGGCTACCGACGTATTATGATTGCCGGTCACAATTTTTTATAAGGGGCCTCTAGGCTAAGGCTGGTCACGTTAGCAGATCTGAGGGCACTTCGGACACTGATCTGTAGTTTGACCTTGTTTGAGCATGTTTACTCCCTAGGTCGGAGCCTAGGGATCTCAAAACAGGACCCAAGTAAGTTAACGTAGAGTCCTACCCACCCTGTGAATTTCTTGTCTATTACTCTCCTAGTTTTTTATATTTTGGGTGTCAAATTGATCCGCCACCCAACTCGAGCGCGTCGCATTCAATTGGCCATCCGAGCGCGTGTCAAAGACATCTTCCTGGAAAAGTGCTCGCATCTCAACCCATTTAGATCCCTTAGTGCTACCACACCACCCCAAAGGATGTCACGGGCACTAAAATTACTTGCCAATCAGTTTGGTATACTGTTAGCACTCAGCGTTGTCTACTTGATGGGCGCACGCGCGGGCCAACCAAAACCCACCGCTAACCCTATCGCAAACGCTACCAAAAACCCTATCAGTTCTTGTGAGAATTACAACATTTTTTGTGCGTGTTAACATAAATACGACACATTTTTCCTTAAAGCGATTTGAGAGATTTATTGTCATGTATGATGATTGCCGAGCATGTTTTGTCATGGAGATGACATTTTTATGGTAATGCAGACGCTTTTCTGCGGGCTGTCACTTTGATAAGTGACATAAGCATCTAGATATATAACATAAATTGGAGCTATGCCACATAATTTACACAGCAGGATAAAGATGGATCACGTCAGCCTGAAAGCTGGAGAGATCTGAACCGGTATGTACGGGACAGGCACGGTCACCGTCCCAAATGAAGGGCGCACGGGCGCTCTTTCGTCTCCCTCTCGTTACACAAACGGATTGAACGTGCCTCATACCTGAAAACCACACGAGTCCTGGAACCTTTCACAAAAGACCCACTTATTGTCCAAGGGTAAACACTGTTGACGTTATCATCTTCAACTGCTTAGGGACCTGACGCAGCCGCGAACAGCATTCCGCCCTTCTAGTCAAATCATAATGGCTGTCAATCAGCACAACACCCCCGCGTGGTGTGCTCCACAATTTCGCTGCTTCCCATTTGCGCCGCGGAAATACAGCCATTTCTGTGCGTCTTGGTTGGGTCACACATCCTCAGCTATCTTATCTCCCAGCCGCGACAGCCTTCAAGGTGACGGCCGCCCAGGGCCGCTGCCTCTCCAAACGGCTTGTCTTTCGTCCTCCGCTGGGTGCACCGTAAATCACATCAACAACACCCAATTATGGTACGCATCTTGGCTAAGCGCTACAACAGCCTAAATTATCTTGCGTATGCTTGGGACTAACCAAAGTGTCATATCCGAGCCATAAACGCCGGTGAGACTCGCCATAAAAGGATTCATTGCCTTCGGGTTTGCTCGAGGCTGTCGAGGCCGTTATGCATTTTTATGCGCATTTTTCAACATCATCGGAGCAAGCGTTGACAGACTCATCGTACGTAACTTTCTGACGCCTTTTCCCATAGCTCTCGAAGAGGGCTTTTCCTTATCAGTCTACCGATTTATTGTCCTAACTTGCCCCATTGACAATCAACCGACGCCCGCCAAACACAACTCCCTGTGGTGGGGCCTAACAAGCAATACATCAGGCATCGCCAAGGATGAGCGACCTCGGACTGCACGTGCAGATGAGGTTGTAGCAGGTGATTAAATCTAGTGAGCCACACAGGTTGACAGCCTCTTGGGTGGTTAGTTCCCTCAGCGATGATGCAAGGCTTCTACTGAACGGGCTCGTCTCTGAACTATGTGTCCATCAGATTTCGCCGACTGAAACGCAGTATAAACATCTACTGAGGCGAGACCTAGACACGATATGAGAAGATTGGAAAGGCCGGAGCGTGGATGATTCATTGGCCTGGATAATGCCAGATCAAAAGGGACCGACCTTTGCGTTTACAGAGCAATCCAAACACTTTAAATGAACACCATAAAATCGTCGTTGTAACAAAACTAGGTTCTCGGAGTGAATACCGGGACAGCGGTACAATCTAACTGATTATTTGTTTAAAACACAATCACATTAAGAAGTCAAAGCTTCTTAACGTGATTGTTTCACTAGCTTCATTTGACTAGCTTCAAGACTGCATTAGCACGCTATATGGCTGCAACACAACGGGAAGTGGTTATTGTGTCCCCTTATTCAAGCGACAGTGACGGTCTAAACAGGCATAATCATACGAAGACCTTGCTTACATTGGGCCGATAGCAATTTTGTTAAGCTAGCAATTCCATGGCTGCTTATCATTGGCATGACATTTTGGGAGCCCCAGATCCTTTCTGCAGCAGTTATACTCACTGGGTTCGTTGCTCTCTCGATATTATACAATTGCAGTTGCTATTTGGCTCCCAACCGTGATCATCGAGCCAATCTGTTTCAACGTGTTGTCACATGACGCGTGTTGCTGTGTTGCCGTGTGTGTTGTGTTGCTCCCAACTGTGTTGCTCCTAAAGCCAGATCCGTTAACGTTAGTTTTTCTAAAGCATGAGCCCTCTGCCTGGATAGGCACCTGTATCGCAATTGGCTAGCTGACATCGTCTGTTTTTCTCAACACCAGGGTCGCGATTCGGAAACCTTTAGTCATAGTGTCATGCGAAACACAGTTCAATTGGGTTCAAGGGCGTGTACTTGCATTCAATCATTAATACTGAACCAGAAAAAAGAGAACCTGAACCAAACGCTTTGCATCCTTTGTTCTGTAGGGATGTCTTGGTGTATCTGACTTTGCTAAGCACAGATGATACAAAAACCCGGGTCCCACCATGCCGGTGGCTTAGTTCCTGTTCATCGAGGAGGGATTAAGCTGTCTGTTTATAATTAATACTGACTGACGTTCGCCGCGTCATGCAGCCTCACGTCACCAACGCTTTGTAGCAACCTAACTTTTCCGTAAACTGTCGTTAGCTGTCTTCGGTAAGCCAAACGATTCGCGCTTTGTCCGGGCCCGAGCCGATCTTAATGGTCAGGCGTCCAGCGCTCCCGAGGCTGCGCTGTGGGGACGGCAAAATGACCATAAGAAGCACGGTTTTCCAAATCATTCGCGGAAAACCACCCGGTCGGTGCCAGCCTCTATAGCGGTGTTCAGACTTTTTTGTTTAATGCTTGCTTGTGCTTGCTTGTAAAGCACTTTCCACTTCACCGCAGCTGACTGTCATGTCATTTGATTTTTCCAATAACTAGCCAATAAAAGTCAGGGGATAGTACAGGAAAGTTCAGCGGGTGCATATCAAATATTGATTGGAGTTTTAGCCCACGACCTCATCGCAAATAGCATCGAATGATATATATATATATATATATATATATATATATATATACATTGGAAGGAACCATTGCCAGAGAAATGATTGGTCAGGTCAAGCTGTAAACAATCAGACCCCTGTGATCAGTATCTATTATGTAATCATACCGTGTTCCATATCTATCATGCCGTATTAAATGCATTGCAATTCTGAAAAAAATTGCAAGCATTTCAATGGCAAACAGCCCGGAAAACCCGCTCCCTAAATGCTACTACTCTCTTTAGGCCCTGTTCGAACTCCAAGCGCCGAAGTGGAGCGTTGTAGCAGCCCCGGTCGCCACAACACCGCTGCCGGTCGACCGGATAACTTGCATTAATGAATTCGCTCACAGCCGAAGTCATACAGCTTGACGCAAAGCGAAAGTTCCACATGATGAGGCTGCGTCTGAGTCGGCCTCGCGCAGGCGCCGTGGGGTTAGACAGCCCGGTCTGCCAAGGCCCGGCTGCAGGGCAGTCCCTCGGGGAACATCGAACGCGAGCAGAAAGTGGCTATGGCTCGTACACGGGCGTGTGGTACGGGCTTGTCATTAGGGCGTGGGCTATATGTTAGAACAGTGTCGTTGAAACTTTGGACTTGCCAGCTTACACGCAGCTACGGTCTCATTTAGCTGGTGCTAACTGGGATATGTAGGCCACACAAGCTCGAATGAGTGTTGTTAGTAGGTCTGCGTTCGGCCTTGCCTCCGTTGGCGTCCGCCAGCACTTTTTGCAGCTTAGGAGTCGCACACAAGCTTGGGAAGAGCCGAAGCCGCAAAGGCGGGAGTGTTTACGGCTTACGTGATACTTTCCCTATCTCGTAGCGGATGCGAGTGCAATAGTCGTTATGGCCTCGCGATGTTGTTTCATTTAGTGAGGGGACAGGCTGAAGGATTTACCACCTTGTTATGCCATTTCAGACGACCACATCTTTGCTCCTACCACAAGATCCGGTAGCGCACTTCTAACATGATGACAGCGATGACCCTGTTACATATATTTATACCAGTCCTATCGTCGAGTAAAAACATGAATTTCCGTTTGGCCTGCGATCTCTTTGGCCTTCTGTCAAGTCGGATCCACACAGGGGCTTTCACAGAGTTTTTCTGCCTCAGTAACCCTGAAAGCTTGAATTTTGTGCAGCTTGCAGCAGGCCCCATTTCAGAAGCCTTCCGTTCGGAAAGTCATTCCTCGCGGTCCCGTGATCATCGGTACTCCCCTGTCCGATCTGGGCACTATCCTGTCTGTCCTGTCCGATCTGGGTACTGCCCTGTCAGATCTGGACACTGCCCTGCCCGATCTGGGCACTGCCTTTTTCTATCTGGGCCCCGGCCTGTCTTGCTCCGGCAGGCCTCTGCTTGTTCCGGTGGGGCGTCCGCCTGGCACGGCACGTGTCAAACGGAGCGGCGCTGCGCCGTGTCTGTCGCAACTGTTTACAGCTTGTGACGGCCTGCCAGCGGCGGCCGGTCAGTCACTGGCGGAGACAGGCTGTCTGGCCGCTCCGGGTTGCCGTCCGGATCCGCCGCCGCCGCCTCCGCCGCCGCCGCCACAGACGGACTGCAGACGGAGCGAGGCTGGACGGCGCAGAGCAGCCGGTAAGGTGAGCGGCTGGGACCAGCTGTGACCGTCGCTGCCAAAGTCTGAGAAGCCTGATTTGCCGGAAGGTAGACGCCTACCCGGTTGTGGTGCCGGGTGCCGTGTATATTTGTCTCGTTGATTCGTAGAATAAGCCTTGAGCTATGTTTGACAGAGATACAGCGACAGCTAGACCATCGGATGTGGTAAATTGCTAAATTGCCGGAGTACTGGTGGTGTAGCGGTTCAGTTGCGTGTCTCGGAAACCAGAAGTACGGTGCTTAATTCTCCGCGGTGTCCGTCCTTCTCACGTTGCCCGTGCTTCTCTGCCTCCTGCCCGTTCTTCCTGTCCTGAGAGGCAAGCGATGCCACACAGCTTCAGCAGCTAAGTGCGTCGTTAAGCCCCCAATGGCTCACTGGTAAAATGCTGAAGCTTCCTTGGATGAGGGCCCTCTGTTTGGATGATTTTTCAACGCTTTAGATTTCATTTATCGTACTTCGAATCAATTCGAAGGCGTGGCGGCATCCTTCACATATTTGTGAGTCTATCAAGGTCGCGGGAATATGTAAAACGGCGTCCGTTTCCCCATATTGTGTCAAGACAGACACCATGTATTTGGACCTTCAACCGAGTTAATTGACAATCACAGTTTTGTGTTTAAAGCAATGCACGTACGTATGCAATTAATGCTGCTAAATCCTGTGGGCAATACAAATCAGGAAGAGGAATAAACATACATAAAAATGTTACGTACGCCGTTCCTGAATAAACTCCTACATTTACGTAATTCCAGTCATCACCAGGAGGCGACCAGCATGTTTCGGACCGACAATAACTTTGCCCACGCCCGGTCAGGTCTGGGTGCAAGCAGTATGTTTCCTCCCACGCAACCACAATCACCTACGCAATATTTGGGGTTGGGCACCGATGACCGCTCTGACGCCACTTAAGATCATTCTGAGCCCATTCCAGATTCCACCGATCTTGGTGACGCCAAATGCTCGGAACGAACGCCTCCCGCGGGGTAGATCCATCGCTCCTGACTCCCCGGGGCGTGCTCTGAGTGCTGATCGACACCCTGGGGAGGGTTAGGCCGACTGTGCACCGCCTTCTGGCACCGGAATCCGCCCGGTATAATCGGCTCCAGTCGCCGGTGGTGTGGTCGTCGGTGTCGACGACGGCTCTGCCCCGCTGGCATCGCGGCAGCGCCGGTGTTGACCAGCAAGTCGGCCTCTCTACCGACGGTGGCCGGCAAGTCGGCCTCTGTACGGACGGTGGCCGACGAGTCATCCTCTCTGCGGACAGTGGCCGGCGAGTCGGCCTCTCTACCGACGGTGGCTGGCATGGCCGGCGAGTCGGCCTCCATAGAGAGGGCGGCGGGCGAGTCGGCCTCTATAGGGGCGGCGGCGGGCGAGTCGGCGTCTGTAGGGGCGGCGGCGGCGGACGTGGTGGCCTCTATAGGGGCGGCGTCGGGCGAGTTGGCCTCTGTAGGGGCGGCGGTGGTGGGTGAGTCGGCGTCTGTAGGGGCGGCGGTGTGGTGGGCGAGTCAGCCTCTGTAGCGGCGGCGGCGGCGGTCTGTAGGGGCGCCGGTGGTGGCCGAGTCGGCCTCTGCAGGGGCGGCGGGTGACACTGATCGCTTGTCGGCCACCGGCCGGTCAGGAGCCGGGACTCGGACGGCCAGACGGGCGTCCAATACACCACTGGGCAGCGAGATCTCGTGGCGTGCTACAGAACGGGATGATGAGCTTAGGAGGGCTTCAGGATCCGCTTTTGCCGATGGTGGTTGATACGTTTGGAGGCCGAGCGCGCTGTGCCGATGAAGGGCGCCGATATTGAGGTCCAGTGGCGCGTGCCTTCTCTAGTGCCACTTCATAGACACTTCACTGGACGTAAGCCTGTCTCTAGAGCGTTATATGACGCCCGGCGCAGGGCTTCGTAGAACTGCTTTGCTCATGGGTCATCAGACATTCCACGTAGTAATCATACGGGTGTGAAAAGGCCCTGTACTAATGAAGCACGATAAGCTACATTACTGTCACTTGGAGCCTCGACATTTCAATACTTTTCGCCGACACTTGTAAGGACACCTGGCCAATTCCAAGAAGACCCTGACTTCATCCTCGCGAGGAAGCACGAGATCCTTTTTTATGGTCCAGATTGGATGTTGTAAAATCCGCCCTTCCGTTGTTTTTGGACCGAATCAAGCACCAGCTTTCTTCACACTTAATTTTGTCATTGAGTCGTTAGGCTCGAATGCGTTTCTGTGAAAGCAGAGCCATTCATGGTGCCAAAATGTACACAGCGATTTCCGTTAAGCATGTCGTCAAATGTCATTTAAGCGAATTTGGTGCGATATGATTAGAACGCGGTCATGCCGATTTTATGGGTGACTGTACGGTAAAAAGGAACACGTCATGAGAATCACCAATCTCGTGATAAATACACCGTCGTTATGCGATGCGTTTTTTGTCATTTAAAAGTTAAAGAAATATTTAGGTTCTTCAAGATGTACAGTGGTAAAGACATAATGATATCTTATGTACTGGACTTAATAATGACGTGACCGTCAAACATGATGACATAATAATGACGTGACCGTCAAATATGATGACATTACTTACATGCAAACTATAAAATGCTGCGTTTCCTAGAAGAGCTGGTTGATAGTGGCATTGTACTTAGTTTTTGGGCCACATTCCTTATCAAACAAATTGTCACAGGATGACACATTCGTCGAATTGGTAAAACCTGAAATTATCTATAAGCTATACACCCTCGGTATTCGCTTAGTGGTGCTAAGAGACATATTCATGTTTGTGTATGTTTTGATGGTTCGTCCCTCCTCACTTCTTTATGGGATCACCTCATATGCTTCCAAGATTTTTACGTTCAACGCGTTCACATCAATATTTAACGAGTTTAGGTCAATTGCTGCAATATGATTTGCATGTTCAGTTACATTATATTACTATATTTGTGGTTTTAGGGCTGTCAACTACACAGATAAATGGCTGCCCCTCATCCGATTATACTGCATAATAAAGTGATATCAGCACGCAACTTACCGATATTAATTTCAGCCAAAGCCCAGCAATGGACCCGTTGACATACACTCAGATACATGCCGATCGGAAACGATTTGAGTTGTTTTGGTTATGATGTTTTCAGATGTGAATTATATGTTGCAACAAGAACTACTTGTGCGTCGTGGGATAGGCAAAATTTGTTAGCGGTTTAAACAGCTGCCAGATTCATTACTTGTTATTATTAGATTGCAACAAAAATAAACTAATGGAAAGCCAAGTTCCTTCAGGGACCGTTATCAATGGGTTTTACGAATCCGTTGTTAAGTTCACATGAGAGCTCAAACTGCATGCATTCCATTTTCTTGCAAATATCCTCGAAGGTAATTCCAATTTCGTAGATATTTACAGTAAATTGCGGAAAAGGTAGATCACTTCCCTTTTCCAGTGAGCGAGTTAAACAGTCGGAGTTGGTTTTTTGGGACTTCGTGACTTCCCTCAGGACAGTTTTGATATGAACCGTCATAAGTTGGGGCTCTTATTTTACTCAGAGGTGACTCCAGGAAAGGTTTTTGGGAGGCGTGTCAGGACGAATCACAGTCCGTTTTTTGGCAAATGCGCCATTCACATTTCATTGATTAAACGCTGTCCATTTCTGCCTGCCGTGGTTTATAGCAAGGCTTATTGCATCAAAGTTGATCACATTTAGGTAATACACGGTACGCTTGAGCCGCTAGCGCTGGATCCAGCGTGTTAAACAGCGTGTTAACACGCTGCTTAACTGGATCCAGCGTGTTAACACGCTCAAAGCCGCATTGCCTAACTTTTTCCTTTCGTGAATGCGCCATTACACGCATTTGCGAAACACGATGTGTCAATAGAGAATTAAAGGTCCAGTGGTTAGTTCAAGCCATTGCGTGACTAAATCGGCTCAAAATGTTACGATATCTCCGTGAGTTTAAATTGCTCCAGACTCCCCGCATAGTTTTAATGAAATGCACCACGTAAAAAGGGATCAACTATGCTTCATCAATGCGGTGTAGATACTTCTGATGAATCGCCCTCCATCTGCTTGAGGTATATCAGCCAGTACATATCCTGTGCGTGCACATATCCTGTGCGTATCCTGTGCGTGTGCGTACGGTATTTCTCACCCGTGCATTGCTGGTTTTCGTCCCCTAACCGCTTGATTGCAATTATAATATTACTGTGCAACCAATCTCATGACCTTTTGCAAGTTGATTTTCAATCACATTTGATGAATTTGTTTTTGAAAAGCTGCATGATCGCATTCGTCTACAGGCAAGTTTTGCCCTTAACTTTTAGCATCTTTCTCACACATGATACGCGCATTCTTTGCACAGTTGGCAGTCTACTGCACTGTGCACCGCAGCTAGAACTCTGACAGGAATTCCCATTCATGACATCAACTAGAGCTGCCTGAACACGATTAAAACTTCACTTGTCTAGAACAGGCAGAAAAAATGTTGTTTGCATAAGCAAATTTTCAGTCGCATTTCATCCCAAAGATCTTAAACGTTCCACTTTTACATTTCGTCGTCAGCACAAGCACGCTACCTCGAAATACGCCCGCGATTCAAATATCACTACAGCATGCTCGCCTCCCACATGGTCCGCGTTAGACCAATTATGACAAAATTATTGTTATGTAAAAAGAGGTCCCATGCAACAATCAAACGTAGCAAAGGGCCGGAAATGTATGCCGCTGCTTTCTACGCACCTAACTTAAATCCGATGGTTTGGTAACGCAGTCTCTGCTTAAAGCCTTTAATTTAATTGACAACCGTTCGGAAATCATCCGGCTAATTGAACGGATCTGGTTTCGCCCGGGCCGAGGGGTGCTCTGATTGGCTGAGGGCGCGGCCTCGCCCCATTGGTCCATTGGTCGCCGCTGTCTCGTGGGGAATTGAATATAAGGTGCCGGAGAGGCGGCACCAGCATCGCAGTCGGCGGTGGAGCAGCACAGCGGCGACCACGAGGCGATCTCCTCCCGGGACAAGCACCGAGTGAGTCTCACGCTGCTGACCTCTCAGCGGTCAGAACACGCACGTGCCACAACCCGGAACGCGGCCTAGTGTGGACCCACCTCAGATGAAACTGTGCTGGTAGACGTACGTCTATTGCTGCAACGACTGTGCCTTAAACTCTACGTAAAATACTAAACAGCAGACGTCGCAGGCTTGTCCAAACAGGTTGCTAAGTGCTTGCATCCGTTCAGAGACATGTGAATGTCTGGTGACAATGACGCTCTTGGCCGTGGCCCCTGCGGTAGGTGACATACTCTGTCACATGGCTAGGCTAGTAATTTCCATCAGGGCATATGCTCGCACAATGTCAAAATTTACTGGATCTTGTTTATGGTCAGCGCTAACTCCCATGCCCTAAACGCTCTGCGTTTGCTGATTTTGTGTGACATGAAGTGTAGTCAGGCTCGGACATGTGCAGAACAGGTATCCCAACCTCCGGGAAATTCCTCGCAAGGGGAATACGACGGTCGCAGCGGTAACTTTGCTGTAGCTAAATCATATCTGAGTCAAGGAAAATGACCTTGCTGCCAGCCCCAACAGATAGGTGCTGAATGGAGAATGATGTCACAACATGAACTGTCGTATATACCACATATACAGAGCCAAAATAATCTTCTATAGTAGCCAAAAAATCAGGGTCGATGTTTCCACAGCCACGGAGGGCTTAGATACGCGTAAGGTACCAAGAGTTTGATTCTGTGATTTAGTTTTTGTCGCCCTCATGCAATCGCTGTGCACAAAATTTATCTGGCCGCACCACCCACATACATGAACTTGCCAGAATGAGAGGTGCGAATACGCACCACTTATGCTATTTTGATTTTGCTGCTTGTTTTCGAGCGTAGAAAGGCTTTGCTGTTAAAGGTTTTTGTGGTTTTTAAAGGTGAAGATACATTAAATGTTTTGGGCGACAGTTTCCGACCGCCACGTTCAAGCCTATGCTTTATATCTGACCATCACTTCCACACGTAAAGGTGGACTGATGTCTTCTCCTAGACGTAAATTATATCCAAGCATTTATCAACGTTCTACACAGCTAAAATGCACACATTGTGCACCTGGGCCAGAATCATGCGCAGATTCGTGATGTTTGCCCAAACTTGACCTGGCAGGAATCGCGAACCTTGCATCTGGTCCATCCCGGCGGAGTGCCTACCGTGATGGAGATCAGGCGTTGTACAGGCCGACAGACCACGGTCACCGCCATCTTGCCCCGAGCCACTGTTGCGTGACCAGACGGGCTTAACCAGGCCCACACAGAGTTCCGTTCAGTGCAGCCCAGCTCAGTGACCGCCAGCCTGCCCCAGACTGCCGGCGGTTGCCCACGTGCCGGCCATTGAGCGCTCATACACGGCCGAGAGACGGCTCGGTGTACTGCGGTACAGTCTACCAGCCCGACTTCCAAGCTCCTCTGGTAGCAGACCCTCGAGGCCGGACGCTCCATTGAACGTGCCAACGCGGCGGTGCGTGCCCTCGGCCCTGGAGGACGACCCGTATCAGGCCAAACAAGCCACTGATGTGCATAACACTCTGGAAAGTCATACGCCTGCGTTTAATCGGGGTAATTGCGTCACTTGGTTTACCTTTTGGTCTCGAATCTGGGTCGGCTGCCTGCCGCGTCAGACTTAAATGTATTTCTGGACGAAACTATTCCATCAACGCGATTGAGTGCAGTTGAGTTATTCTGATTGGCGCGGCAATATGCTTAAGGCTTGTTAGTAATATTTACGGTAAATATGGCATCAAATCGAAAGGGTACTGTGATCATGGGGTATAGGTCGCAAATACGGACGTTTTTCCTCACTTAACTACTCGCCTCTCGGTCTCACGGCTAGCTGCGCCATCTTAACAAGCTCGTTTTCAGAAACTAAAAAGTGAAATGGGCCATTACAATTCTTAGTCTTTCAGTTCACCTAAGCTTTCGGAAGGGAAATCTACGTTAAATTTTGATTGTTATTAGTCTTCTTTGGTTTCCGAAACATGCGATTTACTATCACTTTTTTGATAACGTCAGTACTTATGAGCTAAATCTTCCAGTTGGACTCTTTTATTCTAAGGCTGCTATAACCTAAGATTTTGCAGGCCACCGTAAGTCAAAAATTCACCTAGTCCTATGTAAGACACCGTTTCTTGAAATATATCATTACCCGCTGCAATATTACTTATTTATGCTGCGCTAGCATGCTGTCATGGTACCTGCGCAGCGTCCACACTGGTAAGAGGATGAGAGCAGAAAACAAAACACGCGAGGGAAGGCTCGAGCTCTGACCACGCGTATCCTAATGCAATGAACTGCCATCTTGTGGACTGATGACTCCCAAAGTCACCAACACAGTGTACATTAGGAGTGCTTCCATTACGCTATATTGCCCATGGGCTTACTGATAGGCTCGTCTGTGTGGCTGCGGAAGCTTTGCTGTGTGGCCTCTCAATATGTAGTATTTTCGCTCTTGTTCTGTGCGCTCTGAATGGTCGCAATACGGCAGCTGTCTTCCAGCTGGAGACGCAATTGCTACCCTGTGGTTGAGCCAGCCAATATATGACCAGCTGTTATCTGATGGTGTATTCACAACAGTGGTATTCGGATGGCTGCGATCATTGCGTTCACTTATTTGGATCTGGAGTGTTGAGCGGCGTGACAGCACGTGACATTGCTGCTGATAAATCCCCAGGCGAAGCAGTGGACGTATTGGAGTCATTTTATCTCCGCAACTCTTCTCATTTCAGCAACCGCCGTGATGCAAGGTAGACTCGCAAGCGTAACGTGAAACAGGACAGCGAGCTCTGTAGCACTTGCTCTTCACGGGTCATTGTCCAAACTGGCCTGGAGAGTGATGTGGAGTGATCGGTCGCTTAGCAGCTGATTAACATCATGCTGAATATTGCGTCTGGTGTTGGGCAACACTCAACCGGCCCAACTTTGCGGTTTTAGTATGTGTTCATGAGATGTTACCCCTCCCCAAAAAGAGAAAGAGCCGAAATTCGCGTTGCTGAATAAACATGAGGATGAACGCAACGGATGCTTCCCTGTCACACGGCCTCGAATCCCCCGCAAGGGCAATCTCGAAGACCTGGCATCCTCTCCTCACACCGCCTGCACGCGTCATGTCCTCCGCCCACTGGCTCTTGGGCCGGCGCCGCCTGCCTCAGCGCGCTGGCGCTGACCCGGTGACGTCGAGCGTGCGTGGCCGGCCGGGACGATTTATCGGCGCCGGCGCGGGTCTGTCGGCGTCAGCCCGGCAAACAACGCTCCTGGCGCTGTCCGGCGCCGGCGACAGGTGGATTAATGGCGCCGCTCCGGTACAGACTTGGCCAGTGAAGCGCGTCTCGGTGAGCACATCGGCCGCCGGCCACGGATTGCAAAGACGCTCACTAATGCTTGCAGATGCCGAGATTCAGTGCAGCCCGTAAGTGGTGAGCACCAGCGCTGATAGATATGGCCAATGATTTATTCATTTGGATATGACTGCCCGCAAAAGGTAAAGCTCCCGTTACTTTTATCGGAAACATTCCATACAGCTGCGGCGACAATTTATGGCCCACGTGTCCTTTCCGGGCACCTGGCATGCACCCGCTTGGGACATCTGTCTCAACTGGACATTGGCTTGCCCTAGAGCAATAACTGGACAATATTTCTGCAGCGCGACTCACATAAAGCGGAATTCTGCTACGAAAGAAAACGAACACTTTCCACAAAGTCATGATATAGCCCTTGGACATGATTCTGATTCTTTGCTTGAAAGCAGCACACGGCACGAAAGGTCGAGTTGTTCCATAGGACGCTTGTGAGTTGACCCTCATATACCCATGCCACCTAACATTGGCCAGATCTTGGCCTGACCTTGTCACCTGACAGGGTCGCGAGCCTGCCCTGACCCTGACTTGCCTTGGTTTCAGGATCATGACTCGTCACGTGTCTGCAGTCAGCGCCTGCGCCTGGCTGGCAGCCATTGTCTGCTTCGTCTTCTGCTGGTCCTCCTGCAGCGCCGCCAGTGTGCGCCTGGAGGACGCAGAAAGGTTCGTGTGTAAGGAAAGAGTAGCTGGGAGAGGTCAGGTTTCATGTACCGGTATGGAAAGCAGAGAGCTGTCCTGTATCGGTTAAACTTCCAACCTTCAGGTCATGGTGGAATATTTTTGAGGGTGGCATTTTAAAGAGCGGTCTACAGTTGTGGGAGTGGGCTACGTTGGGTTGAATGCGAGGATCCCCACTGTGTTCACAGTCGTGTTTCTGCATTAACCATAGCCTTAATATCGTGCCGTGGCCAAGCTAAAAACAATCATAATGGATGATGTTTAATCCGGCGACTCAATTTTAGCTTGTATCTTCATCGTTTATCTTAAGTCAGTGCTGGTAAGCAGGAGCGCAGCCAGAGCCTTCGCAAGGGGGTGCACAGGGTTGACAGAGGACACCCCATAGTGAAAAGACCCCCCCCAAATCGTCGGATATGACCCATTTGTTTTTGAGGACATGCTTATATATAATGATGCATTTTTACCTTTTCTATTTGAAATATAGGCTAGACGCTACCGCGAGATCAATTCTGCCAAAAGTTTATAGTAAGCAAACTGTCAAAATCGCGAGTTCAGTTACTGCATGAAATAAACTGCTGGCGCTCTTTATTTTTCAATGGTCCAGTGGACTTTTTTAAACCGATAGAACTCAGAAACTTTTCAGAATTTTGTCTGGGCTTTACAGAAATAGCAAGGGTTCCGCGAATGTAGATTGAAAATCGGGATGGATCAAAAAAATTCGCAAGTGGTTCAACAATCTTGTATTACTATGCCAGACCATGTATGTCTGGATATCTTCAACATTTAGTCAAAATTGATTGGTGGTACAAACTGCATAGTTTTGATCATGCGCGCTCGCGCATCTTTCAAATAAATAACTGGACGTCAAGCGTTGCAATCTCCTTAGGTCGCGCAGCGTCGGTTTCCCAGACGTGCAGTGGTTAATGCGGGCGCGTGAACCACCAAACTTTCGCCACCCGGTGCACAGGCTCAAACGTTTTGATTTTATTTGTTTCACCAATCGATTCTGTAAAATAATGAATATTCTCAGGAAAACATGAGATGGCATTGTGCGCTTTGAATCCATTTCGACCTACTCCACTCAGCACTAATGAGACCATTTCTTTCTTTCCGGTAGAGGGGAGCCCCTGAGTACAACACCACGGGGCACAGTGCTGTTCCCGGTCAAGGACTGGATACCATCCTGTCTCACCGCGTTACGTTTTCTGGCCGTCATTCTGGCGACACGGGGCGGCATCCCCTGGCCAATCCGGAAGCCCTTAGTGTAGACATCATGTCACATTGGTCTGCTCCCTGACGCAGGAGGCCTTCTGACATGCGCGGTGGACCCCGGATCGGCGCATTAACCGTCATTAACGCAACAGCATCCTTGCTCAACGCAAAGTGCTCAAATAATTGGCACATAGACTCCAGTTGGGCTTAACGGACCCATGCTGGAAAAGGGTTTGAGAGCCCGCCGGCGGTAGTGGGGGCTCTGACTGGCACAGGACTCTTCTGTTACCTCAATGGGAGCACTCATCATAAGCTCTTGATTTCTTCAATTGCCAGAGGACACCGACCAACGGAATTTGAATTTGAAAAACGAGAACCTCTGCCATTTGGGCTCCGCTCTTTCCCCTGATCGATTCGATGTCCCTTGTTGACACATAATGCCCTGTAAGACACCAAGGGCCCCTGAATTATACAGGAGCCCAACCGAAATACATCGCCCTGTCCCTGCTTCGGAGATGCGCCCCCAGGCTCAGACCAACATGGAGCCGACTGTTCGTTGTTCGTGATATCCGGTTGAAATAGAAGACCGCTCCGTCTCAAGGGTCCCTATCCGTGTAAAAGATCATCTCACTGAAATTTAAGATCACGATCCTATGGGCGATGGCCCTTGATGAGGCCTGCGGCCAGTCCATCGGACCCTTCAGCTATCCCATCGGCCCCTGATCTTTGGTCTGGAGAGGCCCTTCGGCCCTTCTTCGGGTCCCCTCAAATGCCGCTCCGGCTCGGGGCCACTTGCTGCCACGGGACCTGTTCGGCACTGTGGCCCCTAACCGACACAGGAGCCCCTCATTGTGTCAGGGACCTTGAATATTGGAAATTGCGGACTCCGGCCTCGTCTCTGCTTGGGAAATGGGTCTTAAGGGCCCAGATGGACATGAAACCGACTGTTCGGTTTTCGTGGTCTCTGACCGACCTAGACACTCGCATTGTCTCAGGGGTTCCTAAAACGTTGCAAAAGGACCTCTGACTGATATTTCAGGTCCCGACGATACTGGCCACGATTCTTTATGTGACCTACAGTCAGTCCTTTGGGACCTTATGCCCTTCTATCGAGCCTTTGATAGCCAGTTCCGGTGGATCGTTCGGGCCCCTCTTCGGGTTTCATAAGGCACTTTCCCTGGTCGTCTCGGGGCCCTTGCGAGCGCAGAGCCCTCTGTTAGGTACTGTGGGCCCCTAACAGATACAAGGCCCTCGACCAGTGTAAATCACTGGCCCCGTCTTTATGGCTGATTGGGAAGTAGGTCCTCAGGCCCACACCGACATGGCGACGACTATGTGGTACGGTGGTACCCGACAAACATATAGGCCCATATCGACGCAGGGGGTTTTCGATCGGCACAAAGGGCCCTTCGAGCGTCACTTAAGGGTTCGTCTTCGCAGGTCTGGGCTTCTGAATAAGACTCCAACCCCTCTTCATGCCCTTAAGCCCCCCCCCCCCCCCAACCGGGCTCTTGATCGCCGGACCGCGTGGGCCCTCCCAGGTTCTCCGCCCCTCCTCGAACACTGCCTCTGGCCGACTCGGGGCCCCTTGACAACACAG